CACCCTGAGGACATCGTTACTGGGCAACGGTGGGTCTAGGTGACTCCTGGCGAGTATCTTGAGCACCGTTTTGCAACCAAGCTGGGAAGAGAGGGGCAGAGAGCAGGTGCAGGCCTAGAAGATAAATTCCCAGAGGATGGAGAAGAGCCGTCAAAGATGAATTTTGAGAGGCCTATTATGTAAATGAAGAGACAGGGCAGAGCAGGGGGGAGCTGTCCCGTTCTGTCAGTGTTGCATGGGCCCCTCTTTGCATCTTACATGTTGGAGTGGCTGCCTACCTAGGAAGGAAACCCTCGGAGATTAGAGGCAAGAGACGTCCATGACTTGGTCTCCTGTGCGTCCTCATAGCTGCCGCCCCCTCCCCCAACACACACGTTCCGTCTCTGGCTCCCTTCAATTGTATCTTTCCGCCTCTTCATGTGGGGTGAGCAGAAAGCTCTGGAGAAGGTGGAGTCTGAGGCTAAGAGGCCATTAAACTATCCAGACATCTCTAATGAATATATTAAAATGCTCCAGTCCCCTGGAAATACAGACAGAGCCCATCAAGAGGTATAAAGACAGAACCAAATAGATTTCAACGGAAAGAAGCAGGGATGGATGTCTGCAAGGCATCACTTCCCCCTCCCCCCAGCCCGCCCCCGCCCCCCACCCCAAGGCAATGCTCCAATCTAAGCAGGTCAAATAGAATGGGAAGAATTGTCTGTTCGGTACAGCCAGGGTGTTATATCATGCTGGCCTGCTCTGTGCTTGGAGGTGAACCCCCCACCCCCATTCACCGGGTCAGTTGTGAATACTGACCTAGGGATGCGTCCGCTCAGAAAACGGTTTTTTCTTTCTTCTTCTTTTTTTTCCCCTAATTTGTCTAGCCAGAGGAGGGGGTCCCTTCTTATAATTTCTGACCCAGGAGGAGCACCTGTTTATATCCAGTCACTGTGTGGGACCAGCAGTCCTGTTGTGGGAAAAGGGCCAGACCTAGTTTATCTGTGAACCTGACCTTCAGAATAGCAGAGGACAGAAAAGGCGGTAAGGGGACCCAGCAGATGGAGCCCCTGGTGCCTTCTCGAAGGGCCCGGGGTCTGAGGGTGGGCAGAAGGAAGAATACGGAGTATTCCTTCTCTCTACCACAGACCTGGACCTGAAACTCAATTCTAGAGGCTCTCCAGCTCTTACACCCGGCCCTGAGCTGGTCTCAAGGCCCAAACCTTCGACCAAGGGTCCACCTACTTTCCTAGAACTATCTCAGATATAATGGCAGCCGGTCCCTCCTGAAGAATCCATCCAATTCCTAAAGCTGGCCGCTACCCAGTTGGACCCCACCAGGACCTGATCACCAAGCCATCTCGACCAATGAATGTAGTTAGGATGGGCCCCGGCATCCAAGCTCAGGCTTCCAAGAGCCTGTGCAGCAGCTTTGTTCATTTGGCAAGATTGACTGAGCACCTACTCGGTGCCACGTACTGGTGGGTACTTGGGTATAACACATATACAGCCTCTGCCTTCAAGAAGCTCCCACCCGGGCAGAGACAGGCAATAAAACAAGCATTTACCCTACTGAGTAAGAGTGCTGTGGCACACAGAAGCCACTCATTTTTGAATGAGTGAATGAATGGTCGAATGAATGAAGTACAGAGTTTTGAGCTATCCTGGCCTGGGAATCAGGGAAGGCTTTCCGGGGGAAGTGATATGTAAACTTGAGAATGAATAAATTTAGTCATGTGAAGTGGGAAAGAAGGGAAGAGTGTTCTAGGCAGAGGAAATGGCATGTGCAAATGGCCTGGGGTTGAGAAAGCAAGATGTGGTGGCAGAACCAAGAAAATTCTCTCTAACCAATCAGCTGAAGGTTGTGGGGGTCAAGGTGGGGGGATACAGAAGAGATGGGGCTTGGTGAAGTACACAGGGTGGGGTTGCAAAGAACATTGTCATCCATGTCAAAGAATTTAGATTTATCCCAAGAAATGGGACTTTTAAACAAGCAGGAGAGGTTGGTATTTTCAGGCACCAGGGTCAACCCAATGAGAATATTTCAGTAGTACCTTTATCTCTGTTTTCTGGTGATGATGGAAAAGCATGAAAACATATAGAATTCTCAGCTAGCTCTAAGCACACACGTTACATGTGGATATTGGTTATGGTCTCGTGGAGACATTCTGAAAGTGTCCTTGTGAGCTCGGGGTGTGGGGTTGAGAAGGTGGAGAAGAACAAGTCCCCTTCCATATCCACCGGCCCTGAGGGGCCTCACACTTGCGAAATCTTTGCCCATGGGGACCCAGGATGTGCCAGGACGAATAATTTGAAATTAGTAGTCAAGGCAAGGAACAAGCACCCGGCGAGAGAAAGACTCAGCCTGGGTGCCCCCAGGTAGCAAGCCATGAGATAATGGAAGCCATTGTTTTCACAGGCTCCTTCACCTGAGCCTGGTTTCCTTCAGGAATGGCTTGCCTGGTCCACTTGTGATATCCGGGCACCAAACATTCACCATCTCTGAGGCCAGGATGCTCTGAGCCCATTCCTGGACCACGCCCAAGCCTGAGCGCTCAGGTCCCAGGGTCTAGCTGCCTGGCATGGTGCTTTCTTATTCCTGCCTGAGGCGGTGGGAATACACATTACCTTTCCTACCTCCGGAGGTGGGAAGGATATGACATCTGAATTGCGAATAAGAAGACAAAAAGAATCTAGAAAGCTCCACCTGAGCAACCTTATTTTGAAGTCCCTGCTCCCGAGGCATAGCTAGCCAGGACCCCAAGCAGGTAAAGTAGCAGCAGTGCTGGGTAGAACTTGCTAAAGCGGGACCCTTGTCTGTGCGCAAAGCCTCCTGGGAGAATCCGCAAGGAAGTCCTGCCTCCCAGTCCAGCAGCTGTCGGAGTTATCTCTGTTATTCTCCCGGTCCGGTGTTTCTGTTTCTCACCCTCATGACCGACAGCTGAGAAGGCAGAAATGTTCCTTAAGAAAAGCCAAAAGTCCCCCCCTTTTGGCCCACAATACTTGAGAAAAAGTGGGGAGAAGGCAGGCCATTGATGATGAGACCTACACTAATCATTTGTGGGGCCCGGGTAAGACCCTAAAGAAAGCCCACATACGTCTAAATGTTTCTAAATCAAGCCAGCAGACTTAAAGGAAATGTGTGCTCCTAGCTTGGCAAGTGTACTTTCAACATTATCTGAAAAGTCAGATTTAAGTTTAGCATCTCAGCCCCTTCTGAGTACCAGGCCACAACAAGGCAGCGCGGGGAAACCCTGCCCTGAGGACCTGGCCCCTCCCTTTCACGCCCCACTTTTTACTCCAGCTGACCCACGATGGGCCCCCCACACGGGCACATGGACACCTCAGCCTGAACATCCAAGGTCTGTCCAAAGAGCCCCCCCTTGGAGCTAGGAGAATGCACACTTGATGCATGATCTATCCCCGGGAGATAGAGAGATCTAGGGGCGAGCCTGCAGAGACCCTGGAGGGGGCACAGGGGCCATTTGAACAGAATTCTGGGATCTCAGGCACCCAGAGGGTGGTCTCAGGGAGGTGCCTTGCAGGTAATGCCCTCTGGATCCCATGGGGATGGTTGTGGGTGGAGAGGCCCAGGGCAGGGGTTCCTCTTGCCACAGCTAAATAAACATGGTCCTGTTGGCGGGGGCCAGACTGGAACCCAGAGTCATCCCAGCCATGAGACGCGTCTGAACATTTGAAGAAAACCACACGCCACCGCCTGCCCGAGGGCGGCTCTCATCACCTCCTTCCCTCCTGTACCTGTCCTAGGTCAACCCCAAGCAGGATTCTGGGAACCCCTCCTCATTCCCCGCCACCCCAAAGCCCAATCTTCAGCACACCCTCCCTGGGTCGCCTTGACCTTGACATTGAGACAGATGTTTGCATCTGGCCCCCCGTCTGCATTGTCAGCAAGGGTTTCTTGATCCAACTTGGGCACGAAGGTTAGTGTTGATGGCTTGAGGTCCCCTGAAGAAGGAAACCGAACAGCACTGACCCATCCCCTGTCCAGAACATGGACAAACCAGAACTGCAAGTCCAGGGCCAAGTGTGAGGGTGTGCAGAAAGGTGTGTGTTTTTTCTTGTCATTTGCGACTCTAATGATGGACTCACGTTGCCCGCTCTTCCCTTTCTCTTACACCTTACCTACCTACTAAAGGAGGAGTTCTTGCTTGGTAAGTGGATAAAATCCGCAAAGACATGAGAGAATTTATTAGAAGCCACTCGAGAGCCTTAGCCACCTTCTCCAGGGGGAAAAGGACGCACACAGATATCCGTAGAGAGCTTTTTGTTTGTTTGTTTTCAGTCAGACTATTTGACTTCCATTTTTTTTGTCCCCTCCCCCTTACTTTTCCCCTTTAATTGAAAACTACTACAATGTCATTTTGTGACTTTGCTTTATATATACATTATATATATATATATTTTTAAAGCTCATCTTTATTTCTTTTCCCCATGTGATATTATTTGTTTAGGGTTCTATTCAGGCAACTTTTTTTATTTTTAAAAAATTGTCCGATTCATTGAGAATTTGGTTGAAGTTTAAAATTTTGGCTTTATCTCCCCCCCACTTTTTTTTTTTAAGTTTTAAGATATATGTTTGTTTGTTTTATCAGGCCCGTGGCCCCATTTCTTTGTCTCCTTCCCCTTCCTTTATTTTTATTATTGATTTAGGTTACGGGTGTTTACACACACCCCCTTTCTATTAAGTTGCCTCTTTGGTTTGAGTTAATTCATTAGAAGTTAAATTTTGTATAATTTTATTTTTCTTTTGTTCAATCTGGATCGCATGCTTTTTCTCTGCATGATTCCTCAATCCTCCCTATTCTAGCAGGGGGTAAAAAAAAAATCTCCTTTCTGTGGTATTCTTTCAGGAATTTGTGCTTTTGTTTTTTGGCGTCTCTTTCCTCTCCTCTCTCTTTCCTTTCGTTACAGTGCATCATGACGGTAAACATTTCTAGGTTATTTAGACACAGCCCACAGGCCCACGCTCAGCAGGGTCCAACGGGTGTTTTTGCTTTCAGATCACTGGGTCGGGGTCTGCTGCTGACCTCTTTACCAAAACAGCCAGCCCGCTCACCACCTCGCGAGGACGCTCCCAGGAGTATGACTCAGGCAATGACACCTCCTCGCCACCCTCCACGCAAATCAGCTCAAGCAGGTCTCGGGGGCAGGAGAACGAAAGCCCCAGTGGGGAGCTCAGCAAGAGCCAGGACCTCAACAGCGGCAACACCTCTGATTCAGGGAACTCCTTCACCACCTCCTCACCCCAGAACAAGGGGACCGCTCTGGAGAATCTCTCCCCCACCAGCAGGGGCAGAGAGTCAAGGTCAGTGCACGTGGGCAGGAGGAGGGGGTCCCACCTTAGCTCCACCACCTCAGTCTCTCACCCTTGCCCTGCCCCGTCCACCGGGCTCTGACCCAGGAGTCTTATTTGCAAGAGGGAGAAAACTTGAACTGGCATAATTTTTGGAGAAAAAAAAAAAAAAAACCAAGGCAATTTAGCTTCAGGTGCAGCTGGATCCAGGTGCTCAAAAACATAGCCTTGGGAATCTGTCTTTCCTGTTGCATCTCTCAGCTCTGCTTCCTTCTCTGTCGGCTTCATGCTCAAGCAGACTCTCCCCAACATCGACAAATACGCCTAACATTCTATCAGTTTAGCCAGCAATGGAAGGGAAATGCCTCTTCCCCCCAAGTTTCAGCTAAACGTCAGAACAAGTGCTCACGGGTTCTACTTCACCAACTGGGGTCATTTGCCCACCCTAGACCAATCACTTCGGCCCAGGGATGCTGTTCTTGGCTAGAATTTGTCACATGCCACGATTAGGGCTAATGACTAGTCTTCCCATGTGCACTGAAGGAAAAGCCAATGTCATGGTATCAGGAGGAGGGAAGAAGGCTGGACCAGAAAAAAAAGATGTTGTTTGAACCAATAATCTCAGGAGAAAGTCTAACATCAAATTCACTGTCATTTAAAGTCACCGTCATTAAAAAATACACCACGTGTATTTACCCAAGTGCATTGAAAATGTATGCCCATACAAAAACCTGCAAGGCATGTTTTTATAGCAGCTTTCTCCATAATTGCCAAAATTTGGAAGCAACCAAGATGCCCTTCAGTAGGTGAATAGATAAATAAACTGTGGCACATTCCAGACAGTGGAATATTACTCAGCACTAAAAAGAAATGAGCTAGCAAGCCATGAAAGAAGCCGATCTTAAAAGGCTACGTACCTATGATTCCAACCGTAGGCCATTCTGAAAAAGGCAAAGCTATGGAGACAGAATAGAGACCAGTGGTCACTGGGGCTGTGCAGGGAGGTGGGGGGAGGGAAGGAGAGAAGGAGGGAAGGAGGGACAGGCAGAGCACAGAGGATTTTTAGGGCAATGAAACTGCTCTGTACCAGACGATGATGGCAGATACATTGTATACTTGTCAAACCCCATAGAATGGACGCCACCCAGAGTGAACCCTCATGTAAACTGGACTTGGGGTGGCAGTGATGTGTCAGTGTCAGTTCATCAGTTGTAACAAATGTACCGCTCTGGGGCGGGGGTGGGGGGATGTCGATAGTCGGGGAGGCTGCACGTGTGAGAAGTTGTGTATATATATCACCCCATAGGACAACTTTAGGTAAAAGGAGATCAAGCTGTCATAGAACACTGAGCCTTCTCAACCTTTTGCCCATTTAACGTAGTACTTGCTGGACGCAGTTTCCCTGCAGAAAACGCTTAGGAGACAGCTGTGATTCTGTTTCATCACCTCCTTCCTCTGTCACTCAAGAAACCACAGAAAATGCGAATCACCAAGGATAAGGTCTCAATCATGGCTGCTCCAGTCCGCTGACCACTTACTCTGCACCATTCATTCGGGGACTTCGCCCAAAGCTAGCTCCCAGGCACCTCCACACGCCAGCCACTGGTTTGGTGCTGGAGGTGCCAAAATGGTGTGGTCCTGCCGCTCAGGACCGTGGGATCCGTGGGGTCGGCGCAGAGATGCGGGAGGCGTGGGAAGAGACTGGCTTGCACTCTGCCACACTAACAGCGGGGTCTTTCTTCTTCTGCGGGTGGGGTCTGCTTCTGTTCAGTGGCCAAGGTTTCAGAAAGCTAGCCAAAGCCTTGGCCGTGAAGCAGTTTTCAAGGACAGAGCACCCTTCGTCCCCAACACACAGGCACTGCAGTCCTGGACAAACAGCTTGGCATCCACACATAGACCTGGCCTCTGGTTCGCCTGCCTCAGGACATCCCTGACCTCAGTTCACACCCAAGCTCGGCTCGGAGCCAGGGCTGGGCTGGAGCAAATGTCACTGTCTCCTAGAACAGGCAGTGACATTCCCAGACAGGAGAGAGGACACGTGCCTACTGATAGGCCGCTATTATGCAAGAAAAACTGAGAACAGAATAACAAAAACAACAGCAATAATGATAATGGCAGCTGATATTTCTGGAGCCCTTAACTAGATGCTAGGTCCGGTGCCAAATGCTTTCCATGAATCATCTTCCTTCACCCTTCATAAAACCTTTACGGCATAGGTACCATTAGAACCCCTTATTAGCTGATGGGGAAACTGAGGCTCGGAGTAGTTAAGAAATGTGGTTCATGAGGGCCAACACCTGGGTTCAAACACAGATCTGTCCCCAGAACTGGAGCCAAAGCCTGAGGGGCATCTAGCAGTTACCTGCTGAATTCGATTGACGTGGGCAGCCGCCCTGAATAATTTAGCCCCAGCTTTTCCCTTTGAAATGTAAGTGATCTTTAAATCCGAGGCTCTTCGTTACATCAGCTCTGAGCAGAGGGCTGAGCGGAAGAGGCATCAGCTCTAAATCAGGGGAGCCGTGGTCAGCGAAGGCAGGGGGCTGGTGAGGTGGCAGGGGCATGGGCTTCGAAGCTGGACAGATCCGGGATGGGGAGTCCGGGTGGCCTTGAACAAATAGCCAACCCTCTGGGTCCTCTCTGTAAGGGGGATAAGAGAAGTCCAGCTTCAGGAGGCTGTTGGGAGGACCAAAGGAGAAGATGCTTGTGAAGTGCTCAGGACACTGAGTCTCAGAGTATTTGTTCCACGGCTATTCATTGATGGCCTTGGACACATCCCATCCTACGTGCTGGGATAGTGTCCGGAAAGACATGAGTCCTGTCCCCAAGGAGCTCAGGGTCTGCAGGAGGAAGAAACAACTATGAGACCAAGTGAAGTCTTACTGGGTAGAGAGAGGCATAAGGGCTGGGGACTGGGGGGACACATTGGGGGTCACTCAACCAGACTTAGGGTGGGGGTGTCAAGGAAGGCTTCCCTGCAAAGGTGAGGTCAAACTAAAGCCTGAACCACGAGTAGGAGTTTTCAGGTGAAGAGGGGAGACGGGCGGGCTCCAGGCAGTGGGAATGTTCTAAGGCCTGGACACGGGGAGGGACAGACATTCCAGAAGGAACAAATCGTCTACTCGGACCAGTCAACTGAGCCTGGAGGGGTGAGCAGCGGCCAGGTCACGATAAACCTTGAAACCATATTAACATGATTTTAACTTGACCCTTGATCCTATCCAAATGAACGTGTCCTGACTGAGAGCCCAACAGGAGCCCAGCATGGCTCTAGGCAGGGTGGCAAACAGACCGGACACTGTCCTTGGGTGATTTTGAACAAGGCCCTACCCTTTGGGTCTCAGTTCTCCCATGTGCAAATGGCTACGCTACAGTTTCCCAAACTTAATCCCACCGCATGTCACCTTTCTTATTTGTACCCTATGTCTGTCCTGCTCGTACTTGCTTTAATAAGCTCGCTTTTTATATAAGGGCACTAGCTTAAAGAGAAAATTAGTATCACTTGTCCTAAATAGGAGGCAGCCATAAAAACACATATGGTTAAACAGGGTGTTTATTTCTAGTTGGTTACAGTTGCCTGCTCCAGGCTCTGAGGCCCGGGCCTGCTCCCCTCACTTCGAGAGACTGCAAAGATTTGAGAGGTGGTAAAACCCCAGCACCCAATCAATGTAATCAAAGGGCTGGGAAAGACTTGAAAGGGAATGGATCTCCCAGCATGTGATTTGATGTTATTCACCATTGTGCTTCTGCCCCACCGCCCCCCAAATACTCTGAAGTGCCCCCCAGGGATGAGTCCCACTCTGTCTGTACTGCTCTGACATGTGGCCTGAGATCACTTCCCAGAGGTGGGGTGGAAAAGGGGGGAAAGGGATTCTGAGAGCACCAAAGCCTAGACAAAGGCAGGGAGGTGAGGCTCAGCTGGAGACACCCGCAGGCCAGCAGGCAGGCCAGCACTAACCGATGTTCTCCCTCCTGCAGAGGATTCCAGTCGCCATGTCTGGAATGCGCAGAGGTGAAGAAGTCCAGTTCGGTCCCACCCACAGCCCGGAGCTCCCCCATGAGAGGGTGCTCCCGCAGCTCCTCCTATGCCAGCACCCGTTCCTCCAGCCACTCCTCCCGATCCCCAAACCCCAGGACCTCCCCCAGGTACACCCGGAGCCGATCCACCTCCTCTGGGAAAAGGTGAGTGCAGTTTTGACCTTGGCTCTGCAGCATGTCCTCCTTAGGGAGCGGATAAGGTAACCAGAGGTGGCTTTGGGCCCATGGGGGAAGAGCAGTCAGTTTGCGCATTTACCCAGTACTAGCTGGTGGCCTTGGGCCTCAGTTCATCTCTTTGGCCCTCAGTTTCCTCATCTGCAAGATGGAAACAGTAGCAGTACTTACCCTGACTGATTTCTGAGAACTGCAAGGCACTTAGAGCAATACTTACAACATAATGAATATTAGTTACTATCGTTGCAATTGACATAAGCTCATGTGTGTCAATAAGCTTCTGCTGCATGGGAAAAAAAATCACCTTAGTATCCTTAAACAAGCATTTATTTAATTTTCAATTCTATAGATCAGCAATTTAGGTTGGGCTCAGCTAAATAGTTCTTCTAATTTCTCTTGGGCTCATGTATGTCTCTTCCATCAGCTGGTAGGTTGGCTGGGGGCTGGCTGGTTTGCTCCAGGTGGTCTCTTATCCTCCAGCAGGCTTGTCTGGGGTTTTTCACATGGTTGCCAGGTTCCCAGAGAGAGAGAGCAGTAGTGTGCAAGGCCTCTTGAGTCCTCGGCTTGGAAACAGACCTGACATCCCTCTGCCTTTCTGTTAACCATAGCAAGTCACAAAGACCAATCCAGATGCCAGGGGTGTTCCTCTTAGTGGGAGGAACTGCAAAGTCACATTTCAAGGGGTGTAGATAGAGGAAGAAGAGTTATCCATATTTTTGCATTGTACCACTCAACTATCAGAGCGATTGGTAATTGTTTGATTTTTCTCATGTCAAATAATGATGCAGCAGGATGCACAGACACAAGACCCCAGGAACTGGCAGATTCCATCCAGTCTAATCAACCCGTGGCTCCAGGGAGTCTAGCTTTCCTCGACAAACAAGAATTCCCAACAGAAGTCCCACTATTCCTCTTTTGTAACCATATAATCAAAAACAACAGTTGCTTACTTAATCGGTTACTTCAAGATCAGTTAATTCAGGAAAAAAGGAGACAAGGCATCTGGTAGAAATAGTCATAATAACTGAGGGACATAAATAGAACAAATCAGAGTAAAAGGAAAATTCAGGAGAGAAATGAAAGTAAATCACAAGTAAGGTGAAGTCCTAAAGTCATGTCCATTCTGTAGAGTTTCTGTGGAAGTAGGCTGCAAATATGATTCTGAGCTCCCTGGCAGAAAAAGCAAAAAAGGGAAATTGCTCTATTAATTGTGACATTTTAACAAAAAGGATAATAATTGAATGAGTTGCTCAGAAGAGCAGTTACTTCTGATTTTTAAGTCTATGAAAACAGACTCATTTGGCTTCACCGAAAAAGGACACTGTGTGGTATAGTGGACAGTTGTGCCTGACATCCTTTCTAGGTGTCCAAAAGTATGTTTCATCTCGACTATTTCTTATAATGTTTCTCAATGCATAGCCAAAGAGCAAGTTAACAAGAGCATCTTTCCCAGGAGCCACTGGACACTGTCCAGTGGCCCTGAAATTGGAGAAGTTGTTGCTTTCTCACTCTCCTTCCATCACCCTGGGCAGCGTGTATGCACAGAGTCCAGAGCAGCATTTAAGGGACATCGTTGTTACGATTGCCAAAGAAAGCCGGAAACAACTAAGAAACATCTAGGTGAGGGCAAATCATAGCGAGCCTTCTTTTCAAATCAAAAAGAACAGCCGAGGTAACATTACTGTTTCTTCGAGGAAATGGTGGCAAAATCCGAGCAGGAGAGAGTATCCCACTACCCATTCCTGTGCCCATAGCAGACATCGCTAATCCATCACAGCACCTTTTCCCACCGAACACCAGCAGCTATTGAATCCCTCTCCGCTCTGGCAGTCACTAGTAGATCATCACCAGCATACATAAGATGGACATTATTTGAAAGCCTGACTTTGGGGCGATGGAAAAGAAGGGCAGATGTTCCTGGGAAACTGGCAGAGAAACCAAGAAAGTGGTTCTCTGAAAGTGGGAGGCGTTAGCAGACTGGGGAGAGGACTGGAAATAGCACAGGGGTTAGATATTTGGTTACACAACAACAGAGCCTAACAGAAGTCAAGAGCACTTTGTAGCCAAACAGACCTGGATCCAAATCCCTCACAACGTGAGTGACCTTGAGCAAAATGCATCACCTCTCTGTGTCTGTTTCCTCAAATATACAACAGGATCGATAACAGTACCGAACCCTAGGATGTGCTGAGGATTAAATGAGATAATGCACCCACAGAATAAAATACATAGGATAATCTAGACACATCACAGCTAACAGTCCCTGCGTGCTGGCTATGTGCCAATATGCTAAGTGATTTACCCTAATTTACTAATTTAATTTGCAGTTCCATAGGGTAAGTATTAGTATTACTCCAATTTTAGAGATGAGAAAACGGAGACGCAGAGAAACCACCTGTCACACAGCTAATAAGTGCCCAGGATAGTAAGAACTCAGTAAGAGGAAGTTGTCCAATTATTATAAATCGCCTGCAAGGGGGGAGAGAGGAGGGGCTTCACTCTCCATTAAGGACCTGGTTCCCATACCTGGCCTCCAGCTCAATAAAACGCTAGACATGCAGGGCCACCCAGGCGGAGCTCAGCAGGCTTCTCGGGGGCTGTCTTCTCTCCTCCAGGTCCTACTCGCGCTCTCCCAGCTATTCCTCCAAGTCTGGCAAGAGGAGCCCACCTAGCAGAAGCTCTCGATCCCGCCGCAGCCCCAGCTACTCCCGCTACAGCCCCAGCAGGTACTGCCCGGCTCCCAGGCACTGGCCCCGCCCCTCGGAGTAGGCCCCGCCTTCTAGACTCACCTCTGGGGAGCGTCCCACAAGCCCCACCCCCACGCCCCTCAGGTCCAGCCCGCCAGAGTAGGAATAGGATGATGATGAAACACCCCTGCAGTTCCCTTTGTCTTAGCTGGAGTGGCAACTGAGGCCCCAAATAGATCCTAAATGCTCCTACCCCACCCCAAATGCTCCTACGGCCACACCCCAGAAGTCACATCCCCATGTTTCACACACCCCAAACTATCCCTCATTCCCATACTGAGTCCCCAGTTCTTCCACACCAGGGCCGTGTAACCTGCACGTCCTCACCCCTGCAGCACTCGCACCCCTGTAATGTCCACCCTCAAAGGCTGACACCCTGCACACGCCCGACCCCACCCCACAGCACTCACCCCGCAGACTCCACAGCCCTGTCATCCTCTCTCCCGCCCTCCTGGGGCCGGAGGAAGTAAGTGCTCCTCTCCCATCCCCTCGTACAGTAAGCCAGGCAAGCCCTAGCTCCCCAGTAACCACCCCCCACCCCGCCCGCACCCCTGCAGGGAGCGGGACCCCAAGTACACTGAGAAGGACTCGCAGCAGAGGGAGCGCGAGCGCGCACGTCGGAGACGTAGGTCTTACTCGCCCATGCGGAAGCGCCGGAGAGACTCCCCGAGCCACCTGGAGGCGCGCAGGATAACCAGGTGAGATGCTGCAGGGGAGGTGGGGTGCCCACTTCACCCTCGCACCCATTCGACCCCTCCCGATCCGGCCGCAGGCTTCCTCCATGCCTCCCTGGGGCTGGATTTCAGAACTGTGGGACCCCCCTCCCCCAAACTCCTAACCACTGAAATCGTTCCGTGCAAAACCTCGGTTCCAAGTCAGCACCCAGCCCACCCAGCGGGGCTTGCAAGGGGCGGGGCGGTGGGGCGGGGCCTAGGGCGGGTGGGCGGGGCTAGGTGGGTGGCTGGAAATGTGGTGGCGCCAGCATCAGGAACTGGGTGTGGCCAAGGGGATGTGGCCAGAGTTTGGACCTGGAGCTAGGGCCTGGGAGGCGGGGCTGGGGAAGAGATTGAGGTCAGGCCAGGGAATGAGGGCCAAAGCAATGGGACTGGGCCTTTGCCTGGGGATAGAGTTGGGCAATGGAGACTGACCTCTACCCTCAGACCCACATGCTCGGAATCTAGGCTTAGACAGACCCATCCGTAATTATACCCCGAACCAAGTGTGCAGAGGGCAGACGGGATTAAGCTCTGGAGGTGGGTAAGGAGGAGAGTGCTGGATTTGGTGCGGAACTGGAAAGTCTCTTCACGTCCCCAAACCCCAGCTCTACCCATTAAATATTGGAGGGAATAACTCCCAGGAGTATCATGAGAATGAAATGAAAGGAGACAAGGAGACAGGAATGTGCTTTGTAGATTTAAATGCAGAACATTAGAACCCGCCGTGTGCCGTCCTTATGGATTGAGTGGTCAGAGAAGGTGGACAGGTGAGGTCTCTAGAAGAGAAGCCTGCGGTCCGAGTGGGAACACGTTCTCGGGCCTTGAGAGCTGGGAGAATGGCTAAGTGCTGCCCTAAAATTGGCTCCTGACACTCGTTTGGGCTTTTCCCACTGACCCTTCAAGGGTCAGCCACTGGTCCAGAGACCCACAGGGAAGGGGGGGGGGTCCTGCTGCCCAGTGCCTCCTCCCTGGAGATGGCCTGGAGGAGGAAAAAGAACTTGTGCCCCAAATAAGATCAATAAGGCATTGCCTCCCCCCTGGCACAAAGGAAGGGATTCCCACACCCCCTGCCTCGACCACAGGTGTCCTTGAGGTGGATTAGGAGGAAGACCGAGAAGACAGCAGCATTCCCTAAGTCTCTCTGGCTACCTTGGTCAACCCCAAATAGCCCATCGTGGTGAACTCATTCAGTGTTTCCCAAACTTCAGTCACCCACCGCTTTTGCCTTGTCTGCTTCTTAAGTGTACTAGTGTTTACTTAACCTTCTCTAAATAGATTTGCCCTTTTTTAGAGGTCCATACATTTATTTCCAAAGGAAACTTGAGACACTACAGCAAATGGAAAATTAGCCTCTCCTGCCATAAATAGAAGGTTCTAGTCAAAGTAAAAATAACTAAACCAGGATTCAAGTTAATGTAGATTCCATGGCCAGCTGGAGCCTCTGAGCCCCGGGCCCGCTGTGTTAAAAAGTGAAATGATCACTTTTCAAGACTTGTCAACACAAGATTTGTCTCTTTGAGGCTCTAAGAACTGCAAGGGACGAGGCTAAGGAACCGGTGAAAGAGAGGACGCTGCCTCTTTTCCCTCGGGACCAGGCTGAGGCTCGGGGGCAGAGGCTGGGAGGAGTCTGGGGCTCACGCGTGCTCCCTCCGGTCTCTGCAGCGCCCGGAAACGCCCCATCCCCTACTACCGGCCCAGCCCCTCCTCGTCCAGCGGCCTCAGCAGCACCTCCTCCTGGTACAGCAGCAGCAGCAGCCGCTCGGCCAGCCGCAGCTACTCCCGCAGCCGGAGTCGCAGCCGCAGCCGCAGCCGCAGCCGGAGCAGGACCCGCACGAGCAGCAGCTCCAGCTCCCGCAGCCCCAGCCTGGGCTCCCGCAGCCGGAGCCGGAGCCGGAGCCGGAGCCGAAGCTACAGCTCGGCGGACAGCTACTCCAGCACCAGGCGCTAAGCAAGGGCCCTCCCTTGAGCCAGCTGCCTGCGGGGCGGGGCCCTTTCACTGGGCCGGCCTCCCCCACACCCTGCCCACCCTGCCTTCTCCTTGGTGACAGACATTGAGGCTCCTGGACCCTGTCCTTCCTGATCTCCCCGGGAGGAGGAAAAGAGGGTAGGGGGCTGCAGCCTCAGTCAAGCTACTAGGAGCCTCGACCAGCACCACCCTGGGGCATGACTCAGGCCTGGGCATACGGAGAGAACCACCCCCCCTCTGTTGGCACCAAAACCCTCAAGGTTTTTTAAGGAGCAATGGGTCCATGACTCCAGCGTTTGGGCCTGGCCAGGAAATGTAGAAATGGTTCCATTGACACGCTGCTCCCAGGATGCATGGGGAAGACCAGTGCTAGTTCACACACATGCCCTCATCCTCCCCCATCCAGTCTCCTGGCTGCACCTGGATCCTCATGGGGGTGGGAGGGACATAAGAAAGGACAACGGCAGTTAAGTTCCAGGAGACCGGTCAGGCGTTTTGCCTCCCAAACAGGCAGGAGCAAAGGCTAGAAGGCTTTGGAGTCCTAGGAGAGGGGATATATCTGAGCAGGGAACATGGATGTTTTCGTTGGTAGTAGGGGCCTCTGAATGTAGAGACACAGAGGAAGAGGTTACCCAGTGGGTTCTAGCAATGGAGAGGCCACCACATGGCTTACCCAAAATGCCTCTTGGCTGTTCACAGGGACCCTGCAACCTCACCGAGAAAGGACACAGTGGACAGTCGGGACAGCATTGTCTACAGCCCCGCTTCCCAAATCTGTCTCAGCCCCACTAGCTGGCACCAACTTAATTCCACGGAACCATCTGCTGAACATTCCCCAGTGCCATGGCCAGCTGCCAGTCCCCAGCGCCAGCCCGTCTGGCCTTACCCTCCAGTTGGCGCCTGCCTGCCCCCTCCCACCACCCAGACTGCCACACCCTGGATCCTACCCCGTGCAGTTGAGCACCCACCCTCAGCCTAAGCCACCCCCTGTGCCTCTCAGGAATTCTGCCAGGATGGGGCATAGCAGCTCAGGTTTGGAGGGAAAGACCCACATCCAGAGAGTCTGGGGGTCTTGGATGCTCTGTGGCTTGGGCTCCCGCTGGCTTCTGACGTTCCTTGTCAGCTGGGGGAAGCCCAGCCTTATTGCTGCCCTCAGCCCACCTTGCCCTGGCCAGGGCTGAGCAGTGAGGGTAAGTCGATCTCTAACACAAATACCAGCAGCTGCTTCGTCCACAGAAGGCACTGGGAACAGGGGTGTGAGAGAGAGGATCCTTAAAATAAACTCTTGGGCATCCCTCTCACCAGCTGACTGGCTTTCCGGAGCCTCATGGGTGAGTTTCAAGTTTGTGGTGGCAACAGCAGCGGGACAGGACGTGGAGAGAGTGAGAGGGGACAGTTCCCAGCTCTGGATACTGGGGCTTTGGGGAAGCAGGAATCACACATTCATCCCTCACACCGCAGGGGAAACATTTGGGGGAAAAATATTATTTTTTTCGGAAGCAGCGACCCTCCCCTCCCCAATCTTTCCCATCACGTCAGCTTCTGTGGGGCCAGAAACCGCCCCAGAACCACCCCAAAAGTCATTCCTCTATCAGGAGAGTGGAGCGAGGTTGTTCAAGCAGCCGTGGAGGACCTGGCCTTCCCATGATGCCCTCAGACAGACCTGGACCCCGCCCGCCAAGACAAGGATGCCAATGCTGTCACCGCAGAAGGCCGGATGGCAGGTGCCTGGGACCGGGGCAGGTGCCCCAGGAGGGTGTGTACAGTGAATGTAAATAACCCTCTTCCCTGCCCAGACGCCCCGGCTGGACTCCCGTCTCCCTGCATGGAGATGAGGCTCTCCGGAGCCATGGAACCTCCTTAGGACAGACGCCCACGAGCCGCCCATTCTGACTGCCTTCATTCGAGCAACTCCAGGGCACTGTTTTGCCCGGGGCTGCTAGCAAACCTTTTATTTATTTTATGTATTTATGTTTGTTTATTTATTTATTTATGTGATGAGATCTCTCTCTGTATCACCATTAGCAGTATTCAACTATTTATTTATTTATACGGAGAGGGTTCGTGTGTATGCGCGCTTAGAGAGGAAGGGGGTCTTCTAAATGATTTCTGTGCATCTTTTTTCCCTTCCTGTCTCTATGGGTGGGATTTGGGAGGCCGGATGTGGGTGAGGATGGTGGCCTTTGCCCCGAAGGTGAAACCCACTGAGCTCTAAGCCCCGGGACATAGTAGGGGTGGCGCCAAAGCACTTCAAGCCCCAAGGGTCATTCCTCAGCCCACGGTGAGGTCCAGGCCTGTGTCCCAGACCCCTGCCCAGCAGCGGCCTCACTGAGGTGTCAGAAAAATGTAAAGAAGCTTATGAGCTAAGGCGCTGAATTGACACAGTGGAGTCAACAGTTTATGTGGGGGTTGGGGTCTCAAGTTAGCATGGAAGGCAAAAAAAAAAAAGTTGAAATCACTCGTGAGAGTCCTTCAGGCACCCAATGGGAGACTGTTGAGGCTTCCGTTGGTACTTACTCAAGTAGCTGCCTGTGTTAGGGGGGCCACTGCGGTTGAAAAAGACACGCGGTTCAACACTGGGATGGCACTTGGAGTTGACGAGGTGCTCAGACGTTGAGAGTAAGGCAAGAATTGTGACAGAAAGAAGGGAAAATGCCTACTTTGATGTCCCCCTTACTCCTGGGCATATATTAGTGGGTAGGATCACTCAGCATTTCTGGGCATACCTGGTTGGTTTCGTGTAAGTTACTCAGGCTTCTGACTCCTGTAGCTAATTTCTTCCCATCCCCAGACCCTGCTCTGTTCTTTCTGCAATGGATCCCCGCTGTTCCCAGGTATCAGTCATCCTGGGAGACGCACAGACCCACAGCAAAAGCCTTTTTTTCTATGATCTCTTGCTGTTCTGTTAGGAGAGAGAACAAAGCTATTTCTGAAATTAGGGGGAAAGCAGTAAAGGCAAAATGAGCAGCTAGAGATTCCCCCAAAAAGGGTTATTTCAGAACCCGTCCTGGGAACCAGGACCCAGAGGCGTGACCAGTCCTTCTCTGACCAGCGAACAGTGGTCGGTGGCTGGAGACGGCCCCTGCCCTTTCCGAGGTCTTTGTTCTTGGCTTTGAAATGACCGCCTGGTCCAGCTTTGGGTTTGGTGAGGCTTTTGCAACACCTCTGGTTGTTTCCCTGGCAATGTGACTTCACCCTCCCTTGGCCCAAGCAAGGGAGTCCCCCTGGCCTGGGGAAAGTTTTGAGAAGGCTGCTTAATCTCCTCCTGGGGAAAATCTTTGCCCTTCCCTCTCACTTGGTGTGTTCCTCTGATTTCCTTTACACTTTGTTTTTTTTCCATCCCAAACTGAAACTATTGTTGGGGCACTGGTAACCCTGCTCAGCCAGGACCCCCCCATCCCTGGCATCGCTATTTCCCTGCCTACCTTGGTTACTTTCAGCCTCCAGGGATTGAGACAGATCACCTGAAACCTGCTCATGATGAGAACTTATTTATTTTTTTATCCTCACCTGAGGACTTATTTTGCATTTATCTTCAGATAGAGTGGGAGGGAGAAAGAGAAACATCGATATGATAGAGACACATCAGGCGGTTGCCACCCACACAACCCCAACCGGGGCCAGGGACAAACTGCAACCGAAGTACGTGCCCCTAGTGGGAACCGAACCCAAGTCTCTCTGGTCCGCGGGCTGATGCTCTAACCGCTGAGCCAAACTGGCCAGGGCTGATGAGAACTTATTTTAAAAACCACTATGGAAAACAGGAGGGAGATGTGAGAGGCAGCCCGTTGCTCCTGCTATGGGTATGCACTGAGCAAGTGCACCTGGGCAGGTAGCTCCCTTCCTCTGGGCCAGCGATTCCCCCTTGGAGACGTGGAGGAGTTTCTGAGATACAATCCAACCCTTTCACCCGAGGCCTGAGCAAGTCCTCAGAGTAGGGGCGAGTTCACCAGGACTTCGAGGAAAGAGGAAAACAGCCTCGAACAGTTTTAGGAGGTTCTTCATCGTGAGAGTAAACCCTGAAAGCATTCGGTGAATTCCCTCTAGATAATGAAGAACAAGCTAACTCGTGCAGAGCCCCGCCCACCCAGGAACAGTCTAGTGCATCCAGGTTTGACCGAATTCCTCTCTCTTCCCTTTCTTCCAAGGAAAGTGGATCTTTCAGAAGCAAAACGAAATTAAGGTGTTGGAATGACACAGGGGTCTCAGTCTCAGAAAGCCCCCATCCTTTCTTTCTTTCTTTCTTTCTTTTATTTATTTATTTATTTATTTATTTATTTATTCCCACAAGGATTTGCTTGGAGAGGCCCGAACTCAGGCTGTTCTCAAAGGTTTGAAAGCATTTTCGTTTTCTTCTCAAGTGCCGCGTCTCTCTCTTCTTCTGCCATTTTCTTTCCCCCAAATTTCCAAAGTAGCCTCACGCACATCTTTCGTGCTTTTCTCTCCAGCCAAATATAAAATTGCCCCACCTCCCACCCCCACCGTGGCCAACCAAGTCCAGCTGAGGATCTCTGCTAAATATAGTGTTATCGAGCAATGCTTATTCAAACCTCTTCTCACGTCTGCACCAGCGAGCCAATGAGACTGGTAGAGTCATCGCCCCTCTGTCTGTGGCTGTTGTTTTTTGTTTGTTTGTTTGCTTGTTTTTGTTGAGGGTTTTTTTTCCCCCCAGTGGTGGTTGTTTTGCATTGTAAATACCATGATGGGGATCCCTCATCAGAACATGGCTTATTTAATAATTTATTTCCTATTTATTGAGTGGTATTGGGAGAGGAGAGGAACTACCCCTTCCCCTGAACTGCTATTGGAAGCCGGCCCATCTCCCAGCCCCGGTGCAGCTATCTGCCGTGGGAGCGTGATGGCCCAGGTAATGAGAGCTAGAATCACCGAGCAAATTGAAATTGGCAGAGACGGAGGCTTCAGTCATACAAATTAAGCTCAAATGGAACTAAAACACTGGTTAACTCCGGGAAAACCTCATTTAGATGGAAATTAATTGAGGAATAAAATGCCTGCACACGAACCAATTTCTATTAAAAAGTCACAACTCCTTGGGAAAAAAAAAAAAAAAAAGTGAGAGAGAAAGAAGATTGTAATCCCTCTTCTCTAGCCAAGAAAAGCTATGCCTCATCTTCTAACGAGCTGAGCCAGAGAGACTGGAACAGCATTCCTTTGTGGGTCTCTTGCTTGTGGGTGTCTGTCTGGATCTAATGGAGTGGGTCTCAGGCCTCAGTCTTACCATCTGTAGAATGTGGTTTGGCCTCAATGTTTTTGGCCGGGGGTGGGGGTGGGGGGCGGTTCTAACTCTGATGCCCTGAGCTCTAGACTGACTGTAGATTGAAGGGTGTCTCCCAAGGCAGGAAAGAAAACACAGCATGGGCTTTATTTATAGGGTGAGGTCGCAGTAGCTGAGTCCTACAATCAGATAAGGGGGACATCTACCACTTTGATAACTCTTGTGGCCCGGGGTAAAGCCCTCTATATTTAGCTTGAACTTCTCTCCAAACCCAGCCATGCAGGGTCATCCAAGAAAAGACCAGAATGGCTTTGCTGTGCCCATTTATTGTGCCAGACCACATTTGTACACTTGTTCAAACAAACCAGTGATACAGGTCATATCGCCATTTCTCAGATGAGAACACTGAGGCCCGGGAAGGGGAAACTGACATACGCAAGCTCCCCTAGGCTCAGACGCTCTGACCTCACACCCCACGCTCTGGAGTGCTTTCTCACCAGGCCTCTGCTATGAAAACCTCTGTCTGAGCTGTTTCCTCAAGCAGTCATTGGCCAAGGACCTGGCTGAATCTACCACATCAGCCCAGAGGGCGTGGTGGACCCCAAGGCATTTCTCCACATGGGGGCTGGAATGCTCATCTGGAAAACCCCAAACCAGGGTCCCACCACCAGCGAAGCTCAGTCTGAGCTCCAGCCTCTGCCTGGAACACCCACATCAGAGGGAGAAGCTCCTGTGTCCTCCAGCATCCTGGGACCCTGTCCTCTACCCGGGGACACAGCGGCCACGGCTTGTTTGATTCCTGGTGTTCACAGCTCAGCATAACCTTCCCAGGTTTCCGATTTTCCAGCCTGTACCAAACACGTGTCTGTTCTAATAAAAGGTCCCATGGTATGGTGTTCTCATCCATGGCCCAGCGTCCTCTGTCTATAACAGGGTGGGCGGAGGAAGGGAGGGTGGCTGGGAGATGAAGCACCTCAGCATCATGCCACACACTGTCACCTTGCTGATTTCTTGGTTTTTGAATCCTCACCCAAGGATACTGTTCCATTCTTGTTCAGACAGAGAGAGAGAGAGAGAGAAGCATCAACGTGAAAGGGACACATCAAGTGGCTGCCTCCCGCACGACCCTAACCAGGGTCGGGGACAAACCGCAACCGAGGTATGTGCCCTTGACTGGAATTGAACCCATGACTCTTTGGTCCACTGGCTGACGCTCTAACCGCTGAGCCAAACCGGCCAGGGCTTGCTCATTTCTTTAACCTTCAGAAAAGCCTGCAGGTACTTCGGTTTCATATATATTCATAGAGTGTGTTAGGAAGTCTCCTCCTAGGCATTGTGCCTGCGTATTCTTAGTCTTCACCACAGCCCTATGAGGTAGGTATTTTTTTTTTATTCTTACCTGAGGACGTTTTTCCATTTTTTGTTCAGGTAGAGTGGGAGGGAGAGAGAGGAAGAGAGAGAGAGAGAGAGAGAGAAACATCGACGTGAAAGGGACACATCGAGTGGCTGCCACCCACATGATCAACCAGGGCCGGGGACAAACTGCAACCGAGGTACGTGCCCTTAGCGGGAACCGAACCCGGGTCTCTGGACCACAGGCCGACGCTCTAACCACTGAGCAAAACCGGCCAGGGCATTAGGATCTCCTTTTACAGAGAAGGAAACAGAGGTGCAGAGAAGCAAAGTCACTTGCCCAAGGCCACAGAGTCATGACGGGACCAAGGCCAACTGACTGCAGACCCCAGACCCCAGACCCCAGACCCTGGCTGCTCCCCACTCTGCTCCCCAGCACCTCGGCTCAGGTCACAGAAACCAGTTTTCTCAGCAGAGTTGTTTTGCCCTGAGGCCTTGATGCTCAAGAGGAAGTTTGGTGTAGGGTACAGATTTGGGAGTCCCAAGGCCAGATCTAAATCTAGACCCTGTCGTCACTAGCTGGGTGGGACTGAGCAGCGATGACACCACGTGGGGACTTGGTTGCTCCTCTGTAAATGGGGACAGCAGCAGTTCCCTCCCCAAGCTTCTGTGGGAGCTCATTGGAATGGTGGCTTTAAAAACTGAATGTGGGCCCTGGCCGGTTTGGCTCAGTTGGAGCGTTGGCCTGCGGACCAAAGAGTAACAGGTTCGATTCCCGTCAAGAGCACGTACCTCGGTTCAGGTTCGGTCTCCAGCCCTGGTCGGGGTCGTGCAGTAGGCAGCCAATCGATGTGTCTCTCTCACATTGATCTCTCTCTCTCTCTCTCTCTCTCTCTCTCTCTCTCTCTCTCTTCCTTTCCTTCCTTTCCCCCTCCCTCCCACTCTAGTTGATGGAAAAATATCCTCGGGTAAGGATTTAAAAAATAAATAAATAAATAAAATGTTAGTGAGCATGATCACCAACTCCTAGATGGAGACTTAGCACGGAAGCGGGGTTCAGGAAGACGGCCAAAGCTACCATCACGGACAGTGGGGTCCTCAAGGCCCTGTGGAGGCCTCGGGGGAGGTTCTCAGTGTCCGGCTTAAAAGTTGTCGCCCTGGGGAGCAGGGGTTGGGGGAGCAGGGGAGGGAATTGGACAGGGTTAGGACTGGGGAACTGGGGAGCCAATGCCCATTGCCAGGGAGAAATCGCCCCCTTTCTCAAGAAAACCTGAATTTTTAAGATAAAAATCTCCTGACTTTTAAAATGTTTGTAACTCACCCCCCCCCCCAAAAAAACACTATGTAGGTCAAAAATATTATACATGCAAACACAGATAATATATATCATCTCAGGGGCCAGACAGGAGGATGTGCTTGGGCTACCCCCCCACCCTCACCCCCAGGGCCATGGGGATGTGGTTTGAACCCCTTGTGTACTGCAGTCCTGTGAGTGGGTGACCAGCTGGGGAAGAAAGAGCCAGGTTCCTCCCCCACCCCCACCTTGCATCCTGCCCTCTGGAATCTCCCTTGGAATGATTGGGACAGGATCCCCTCCCCGGGGCAAATCCAGAGCTGTCCTCCACTGCCCCCCCATACACACACACACACTGATTTCTTTTTTCCCCAAACAGGGATAAGGGGACAACCATGTCCTCTTCTGAAGCTTCATCAGTCAAGAATAGTTATAACACAAATAATAACAACTTTCTATGCATCAATTCGCATGTGCCAAGCCCTTTTCATACGTTAACCTACTTCATTTTCCTAACAACCCCATTTAGCCCCATTTGACAGAGCGGAGCGTTGAGGCTCATAGCCGTCCACATAGCTGGGGGCTATTTGAAGCTAGGTCTGGGCTCCAGGGTGTTTCTGCAGC